TTTAGTTTTAAATGGTCATCATAATATTTATACTTTAAATTTTAAATTAAATGAAGGATAATATGAATATAAATATAAAGTTAACTCTAATTGGGTTGATTAAATAAATAGGAAATTAATTGTAGAACCTAATCCTACTAAATTACATACAACAATGGAATTGGTTAGACTTAAATTACATTAGATAAAAAAAGAACTTAATTAATAATTCCCATTTATTTTTTGTTAAAATCAAGGTGATACTATTCAAATGATTACTAGAGAAACTAAAGACAAATGTAGATCTAAAGTTTTAATCACTGTTCCTTCATTTGGTATTCCAAATACATTTAGTTCAATCAAATTACCAGGATAAATTATAAAAGTAGATGCTATATTCTTTCATGAAGATTTTATATAACATCCTCAATAAAATAATTAAATTTTAGAAGCATCTTAAGTTAGAATCATTTAACATCAAAATATTAGAGAATTTGCTGAAATCTAAGATAATGAATTAAAATTCATTAAATTACCTTCTTCATTTACTGCTATTATTGAATGTTAAATTGCACCTTAATAATAGAAAAATTTACAATAACTTGATATTATTTTAAATGATATTTCCTAATAATAACTTTTTAAAACTTTGAATTCATCATAATTAAATTACTTACTTTTTATGTCTGAACCTGAAGAGAGAGATAAAAATAATACAGGATTATATTTTATTCCTAATTATAGATAACTTATTTATGCTGGTTTTGCTGGTCCTCGTTCTGCTACTAGAGAAGCATAAACTATTAACAATTTAGCACATCCTATATGTGAAAATTTGAGAAATGGAAATTGGTTATTAGATTATTTAAATGATAGAGTTTAAAAATAACTTGGATAATTGGAAATATCTAAATTAATTAATACAATAACATAATAAATTAAAGATATTCCTCGTTATCATATTCCATCCTATTTCTGTAAATTTGTTGATTATATATACAATAATTGTATGTTATCCATTACAAACCTTTAAACTTCATAATTTAAAAGAGAGTTAAAATTAGCTTCATATTAATTTATTGCAGAATTACCATCCTCAAAATAAATGTCAGCTGGATTACCACATTTTACAACTGGTTGGGCAAGATCATGGGGCAGAGATACATTCATATCCTTTAAAGGAATCTATTTAGAAAATGGATTATTGGCTGAAGCAAAAGATGCTTTAATCACTTTTGGCTCTTGTTTAAGACATGGACTAATCCCTAATTTATTGGATTCTGGTCATAATCCAAGATATAATTGCAGAGATGCATGTTGGTGGTATATTAAAGCAGTTAAAGATTATATACAATATTCTGGAAAGACTGATATTCTTAATGAAGAAGTATAAATGATATTTCTTGATGATGATATGGATAAACATTATTAATTAAAATCATAAGGAATTATAATAAAAAAAACTATTGCAGAAATTATTCAAAAGATTTTTTAGAGTCATGCTACTGGTATTAAATATAGAGAATGGAGAGCAGGAAATTAAATAGATAATTGTATGTAATCAGAAGGATTTAATATATAATTATGTTTAGATGAATAAACTGGTTTTATTGTTGGTGGAAATTGGTTAAATTGTTTGACATGGATGGATAAAATGGGTTCATCAGATGTTAATAGAGGTATTCCTGCTACAAGTAGAGATGGAGCACCTATTGAATTGACAGCTTTACTCAAAGTTTGTTTAGATTTTGTAAGTCATGCTCAAAATCATTATCCTTATGATGGTGTTATTTGTCCTAATGGTAAGAAATTACTCTTTAAAGAATGGTCCCATTTCTTACTTGTAAATTTTGAAAAGTATTACTATATTCCCAAATAACATGATCCAAATTATTAAGATTATCATATTGTTGAAAAACATGTTAGACATAGATAAATTTATAAAGATCTTGTTAAATCTTCAAAACCTAGAAATGAATATTAATTAAGATGCAATGCTAGTATTGCTATTGGATTAGCCCCTGAATTATTTAATAAAGAAAAGGCAATGTTCCATTTAGCTACTGTTGAAGCATGTTTATTAAGAGAAAATTCTATTGGTATCAAAACTCTTGATCCTGCTGCTTCAGAATATGTTCATTTTTATGATAACAATGATTAATCTCACATCTTTAATGTATCTCATGGATTCTCATATCATAATGGACCAGAATGGGTGTGGGTTTATGGATATTTTATCAAAGCCTTAATAGCTATTCATGGTAAAGAACATATTAATAGATAATTATTTTATTCCTATTTATCAAATCATAAAATAACTTTGCATTAAAATGAATGGTAATCCTATTATAACTTATATCTAGGTATTCCTTGCCTGAGATGACCAATGGAAATGGAGAATACAATATTTTTTCATGTAGAGCTCAAGCTTGGTCAATTGCATGCATTTTAGAAGCTATAAGTGAATATGAATGAATGTAAAAATTCCCAATATTATTATAAAACAATATTAATCATTTTAGAATATACTAGAAATCCTTAATTATAAGTATAAAAACTATTAATTGTAACAAAAATGAATAAATTAGAAATTTTCTCAAACTATTTCTTAAGGCTATTATAATTATTATATCATATAATAGTTATATTCTTATTCATTAATCCTTCAAATAACCTCTATAGAACTTTAAATAAACATATTTCCATATGTATAAATTTCAAAAGAATAAATTTAATATACTAAAATCATTTAACTCAACTGTTCATGAACTTGGATATCAGTAAGTTCCAAAATCTTAAACAGATTTTACACTTTGTCCAAAATGTTAAAATGTTTGAGATTATCTACTCTTCAATAAACGTGTTAAAGAAGAATTCATTGGAAGATTGCTACCACTCCAAAATTATTCTAATTTCTTATTGCTTTCAAGCCTTTTTGAATTCCAATATTATTATTCCTTTTAACCTGGATCAGTTTTAGTCTAAATTCCCATTCCATGCAAGTATTTCACAATCCTTATTTCAATTATACTAATCTTTTAGTCCATATATAAATCAATTGAATCATTCAATTCATCTTTTGGACATTCACTCTCTTATGTACTTTAAACATTTAACATCGTTAAACATGTGTTAACAATATCCATATATTTTATTATTGAATTTTTAATTCTTTACAATAAGCTATATATATGAATTATTTTAAAACTAATTTTATTTGATTATTCAAATATACTTATGATTATTCAATTATTCCAAACTATTTTTCCTTCATTTTTGTATATATATATAAGTTAAAATAAATTTTATATGTATTATATGTACAAAATATATAGATAAGTTCAGTTATTATATAAGAACAGTGTTATGCTGAACTTAAGCAATAACACATTTTCTAAGAATTATATATTTATTCTAATCATTCTTATAGATAATTATTTATTTTTAGAAATAAATTCTGTTAATATAACTCCCTCATTACTAATTATTATAAAATAATTATTTAGATTTATTAAAATAATTTTTATTATTTATATATATATTATTTCAATAAATATATCAAATAATTTGAAATATTTTATATTTATATTATTTAAGATATTCAGTAATATTATATATAACATTTTGTTTATAAATGATTTCAAAAACTCAACATAAAAAATATATCACAAAATCTATCTTTAATTAAATTAATTAAAATTATTTGATTACTTCTAGCCTAGATATGAGATTGAATTCTAATTATCTGAGTATTTAGAACTTGGTATATATTGAGGAGGTTAAGAATTGATTTAAGGATTAGAAACTGTAGGATATATTTACTCTTGAAATATTTTCTAATGTATTTAATTAGTCTATTTCATCATATCAACTTATAGAATGGATTTTTCAATTTAAGCCATTGTTTAATTAATTTGATCTTAAATCTAATTAATCTTGTTAGGATTGAGTTAGGATTCATTTGGAGCACTTTCTAGAGAAAAAGAGTTGTTCTCCAAAGGAGCTATTCTATATGACTGAGATGGATAAATTGGAACAGTATCAACTTTTTAATATTAAATTTGACTGACTTATTCTTTCTATGGTATTTTAAATTATGATTATCTTGTAATTTCTTATACATTTTGAATATCATCATTATTATATAAATTAATATTTTTTTTTCTATCAGGAAATTGTTGATTTAATTCTTTAATTTAAGAATGATTGACATCTTTTTTTTGTAAATTTTCTAACATATTTTGTAAAGCATTAATTTAATTTTGATATAAAATTAATTAATTTTATGTGTCTTATTTATATTAATTAAATGCTTTTCTTTCTTGTTCTCTAATTCTAGATTCTTCTGCAGCAATTAATTCTCTATGTAATTATTTTTCATTTATTAATTCTTATTACAATTAAGAAAACTAGAATTTTAAATGATTTATTTCATCTTATTTCTTCTAAAGATTTTGAGTATTAACATAATTTAAATCTTCATCATCTAATTTTCTAATATTACTTTGATAAATCCTTTTTGATTAAATATCCTTAGAAGATTATTCAATATCATTTGTATTAATGTATTATTAAGTATTATTATTTTATAGTAATCTAATAATTTGTTCTTATTCAATATTCTTTTATTCTAATTATTAAGTTTATTATTATAATTTTTTATATTTATCTGCCCATTTTTCAATTTCCTTAGTTTATTCTTCAACTGTCTGATAATTAATAATAGATATATACATTAATCAAGTCTTCAATTTCTTTAGGATTTGCACATGATTTTTAAAGATCAAGTTACTTTGTCAACATCTCAACTTCATCATTCTTCATATTTAATACTTAAGTAAGTCTTTCAATCTAAGATGTAAGTTTAATCAAATTCTTAAATTAATTGGTATAAATATTACTTAAGTATTTTGATTATCCAAATCATCACATTTAGAAGCATTTAGTTTCGATCTAAAGGAGCTAGTCTTCATTTCAAAAATATCAGTAATTTTTATAAATTTAATGAAATTAATTAATAATCAAATTTATAAGTAAGGTTGTTACAACAATTCTTGTATAGTAGCCCTTTGATTAGGATCCTTTTTCAAACATTTTTGAATAAAATCTATAAGATCCTAATCTTAACCCTCTTTGAATTATATATTTTCTCTACAAATCCTATCTTACTATCTATTACGATCAGTATCACGAAAAGGAACTGTGTCATTACACAATTCAAATAATAAGATTCCTATAGCCCAAATGTCAACTCTTTCATCATAACCATTATAATAATTCTTATTTGTCTAAGATAGCACTATTTCTGGAGGCATATATTCAGGAGTACCACAAAAAGTCTTTCTTCTACCTCTATAATTAGAGAAACCAAAGTCACCTATCTTAATTGTATCATTCGAAGTTAAGTAGATGTTCTCTGGCTTAACATCTCTATGCATTATACCCATTGAATGAAGATATTGAATTCCAAGGAGAACCTATTTAATTATTTTTTTAATTTCTTCTTTAGAGAATTATTTTTAGTATAAATTTCCTTTTTCACAATATTCTGTTATTAGATAAACATAATCATTGTCTTAAAAATTACCAAACATTTTAACTATGTTTTAGTGTTGTATTGATGATTAGATGTCTATTTCTCTTTAAACTTATTATCCTATATTAAACTTTTAGATCAGTTTTTTGTCAATCATTTTTAAAGCATAAAAAATATTTGCATTTCTAATTGTATATATTATTAATAATTACTTAACAAGCATAACTTTACTAAATTATCCCTTTCCAATCTAATGGCACAACTGAAAATTATATTTCTATTACCGAGGTCTTTGTTGGTAACTTGTATTCCTTCGATGCTCTTTTGTGACATCTTCTTAAGTTTTGCAAATTACAAGATTTTCATCATATTTAGGAGTAATCAGTAATTAAGGAGGCAATCTTGATCTCTATTTATTCAACATGAAAATAAATAAAATTTAATTTTTTATATTGACTTTATATAATTTTATTCATTCGTATATTTAAAAATAAAGTATTCTTTCAATTAATCATAATTATTAATTGATATAAATATGTAAAACTATATTTATAATAAACTAAATATTCATCCATTATTTAATAAATTATATAAATATTATCACATTAAAATAAGAAGATGTTCAACTTGAAAGAAAACTAAATTTAATAAAAAAGGAAAAGAAAATTGTTGAAAACAACTAAAACTCTCTTATATTTCATTTTTACATATAAAATGTATTGTCATCTTAGAAAACTTATAAAAAATCTCATATAATTCTAATTAAAAAGAAGAATATGGAATTTAAAGTAAATATGAGAGAAATCTTTTTTTTTTGTTAATTTTAGTATTGTAAATTAGTCTATATATAAAGGATTTGAATGATTAATAACATAGTATATATAATTAATTTACACTGAGGTTTATTTGTATAAGAGATAGTTTTTGATCCCATAATTAATTCCAATTAATATTATTTATAAAATGATGTTTAAGAAAAATATTATCAGGCATAAAAAAAGAAAATAGTCTTTAAAATATTAAAACGTAAGTTTTGTAATTTATCATTCTAATAATTTATGTGTTAATTTTAACATATTCAAAATATTATAGTAATTGTAAACTTTAAATATTACTAAAAGTAATCTTGAATAAGAAAAAAAAAAATTATATTATTGTTTCAGAATATTTATAATCTAAAAGCATAATTGTCTAAAATTTACAAAGGATTACATAAGTTGAGTAAATTTTAGTTAAAGCTATCACATCTCCAGATCATTCTTAATGTTAAATAAATTATCAGTTAAATTAAATAAATGTAATACTTTTTATTTTCATATTATTCCTGTCATTTTAAGAAAAAACATATAATATTTCCACACATTTTAATATATTTTAAAATTTTTCTTGAGTTCAAAACAATTTAAATGAGTAACTAATATAAAGAATAAGAATCACAAAACACTCTAAGCCAAAATTCGAATAATCTTTAAGACACAGACTTAGAAGATCGAATTCATTGCTTACCAGAAAATGAATTCTGTTGCAAAAAAATGGTTAATCATACCTTCGTTATTGGAATATCTAAACCAGGAGAATAAAGAATTGGTTTATAAACTATATAGAAGAATAAAATCACTATTAAAGGAAGACTTGGAATTGATGAAAAATAATGAATATTTTTTTCTTATAATATCTAACCTAATATACTAATTTGAATATTTTTAAACCATTAAATCTCAAGAACTTATTAAAAAGTCTTCAATCAAAATAATTTGACTATTATTTACATAATAATAGAATTATATAGATAAATAATCCTTATTAAAATTAGGAGACAATATATTTATTTTTCACTATCTACATCTATTAATTAGTTTTAATCATCAAAATTCTTAAAGTTTTTTCATTAATTTTGAGACCATCAATACTTAAGAAAAAGAGATTTAACAAAAGTTTTATTTTATGTATTAAAATCACCCATTTTAAACTTATGATTTTTGTATATAATTTTATTAATATTATAATAATAATATATCCTAAATAGGAAAATCAATCTTATATATTGAGTCTTGAAGTTACAAACTCTAAGATTTCTAGTTAAATAATATTATTATTTAATGTTGTAATCTTAATAACTCAATTAAAAAAATGTTGATAAGTTATTTTACTTAGAGAAACTAAATTGAGTTTGTTTTTATTATCCTATTTATATCTATTTTTAGATGAATTATAATTTCTTATAATAAAATTATAAAACTTTTATAAATCAACCATCAAATACTTCTCCAACATCAATTGTCAAAGTATTCAACAACAGATTTGTTTACTCCTCTTAATTAGTCTTTATGTTTTTTCTTAATCCATCAATTTCTGGTATACAATTACCTTTTCTATCATATGCAGTAGCTTTGGCCTTTGTCAATCTTCCATTAACAAAAGGCACATTAAAAATTAAAAATGGAAAACTTAACATTCCATAACATATTTCAGTAAAGTATATCTATTTTTATCATATTATAAATTACAAAATCTCCAGAATTATCAAAATTAGGTCTAGAATCTTATGTCAAATAAACTAACCAAAAAAGTCCTATGCTTGCTCCTAAGGCAAAGAAATCCCATATCATAAAATACTTTAAACGTCCTCCTCTTTCAAAACATCCTTCCTTCAATTAAGGAGTATCATCATATTAAAAAATTGGTTTTCCTTTTTATTTAGAACATCCCAAAAGAAAAAAGGCAACCCATATAAGAACTATTTCAGCACCCTATCCAATGACTTCTGAAAAAACTTCTATACTAGCTCCTGGCCCTTTTCTTGTGCAATCTTCTTAGTAAGTATTATCAATATATTTCATAGTTGTGCATGTATAAAGCATAAAATAACCTATTAATGCTTTCATTACTCCTTAAGTAATGAAGAACATCCTATATATAATTTTTTAAATTACGTTTTAAAACTTAAAATAAAATTAACCAATTAATATTCATCTTCTTTATCAATCATTATGAAATCCAAAACATAAAAATATTATGAAATACCATAAAATGGTATTGCTGATACTAAGTACCAAAACCAATAAGATCTAAATGATTAATATCAATTAATACATTGTTTTATACTATTTCCAAACACTTCTATCATATGGATAATTTGAATATAGATACCAATTCCGAATCCAAACAAATGGATATAAACAAACAATAGTTTATTTTTTTTCCTCTATCTCTATGTAAGGATCAGCCATTTACAACATTAATTGATATTTCACTTCATCAACTATTTCAGGCCAAGTTGCATCAACAGTATCATCTACCTATTAAATTATCTCTCTAAAATACTAAATTCTTCACACACTAACACATATCAGGATCTTTGAGACCTTCTTTGATTGTGGGTCTAAACTTCTCAATCACTATGATTACTGATGATTAAACTTTTGATCTTGCCCATACATTGATTTAATGAGTATACTATTTCAACATCAACTTTAATCTATTCTATTACAAATTTCAATTACCTATCATCCAATTAAGAAAAACCTTATTTTACATCAGCCTTTGCATTATCCACTGATTATATTAACTTTTAAAGTCCTTTATTAGCTACCACCTATAATTCATCAGCCATACTACATAATCCAAATATAACTACCTAACCAAAGGACGTTTTATAGATAATGGTTCTTTATCCTTTTCTTCCAAAGGAATAACTTTTCCATTTTTACTATTATTTTGATCTCTGTTTGCAAAGGAATTAGCAAAGTTCTTTATTGTATCCATAATTATGTTATATTTTAGTAATTAATATATATTATAATGATTTATTATGATATGTAAATTTTTATTAATGTAAGTCTTTGGTCGTTTTGGTATATTAGTATGTTTGTAATCAATAATTAAATCTAAATTGATAATGTAATTCTATAAATTTTATATATAATAATTTTAATTGAATGGAATACTTAAAACACTATGTTTATTTACTATTTGTTCAATTTTAAAGAATGAAAAAGTGATGAATTATATTAATAAATAAGTTACAATTTTATATTGAATTTTAAAGCTCTTCCAAAAAAAATAAGAATTAGTAATAAATTTTATTTAAAATGATATTTTATTTGTATCATGTTTTCCTTTTAGCAATTTCATTAATCTGATATTAATGGCTATCTTTCGTTTGAATTATTAAAGTATGCAGAATTTCTTCCAAAATTTTTTTAAGGAGATTATTCATCAATTTATTACTATACTTATTAATTGTCTGATTGTCTAAAAGAAATTTCATTATTTAAATTTTATTAAGAATTATTTGATTCTGGTAGTTCTAATTCAGGTATAACTACCCTACTTTTTTTTTCTATTTATGGATCCTACTTTTAGTTAGATTTGTCATTCTCAACCAAATTGTAATAAATTTGGTTCACTTCTTCTAACTTTTTATAAAATTCATCACCATTTTAATTATTATTTTTTAATTAATTCATCATTGCATTTAAATATTTTTCTCTTTAATTCAAATCAATAGGTATGCAATTTTAGTTTTTGTTTTATTTATTTTAATTTCTAATTACTTTAATTTAATTTTAATAGATAAGCTTTGCTTTAATGACTGCTGTTTATTTAAGACGATATATTGCTTTAGATTATTTATTTTAAGGCATTTTCTTCTTAATTTAATCGTAATTCTCTAAAATAATCATTGAAACTAATGTTTTTTTGTAAATATCTCCAGTCTAGTCAATTAATTAGTGATTTCCAACAGTACATTCCTTTTAAGGGTCATGTTTTTTACATTTTTTACATACAAAAATTCCTTTATTATTTTTCACAAACATTCTACATATATTAGTATCTGACATATCATTAATTCTTTTAAAACGGCAATTTTCATGACATTGAATATTACATGTTCCACAATAAAGCAGTTTAGATCCTTATCTTATTTAAAATCTTTCATTTGAGTTTTTCATTTCATATGCTAAATAAGTAGTCTAAAATTGTTCTATATTCAATCCATCTAATATCAATCCTTATGAACTTAATCTATATATTTTCAATAATTCTATTATATTTTTTTCAAAACTTAATTGTTATTTAAAATATTATTTATTAAATTCATTATCAATATTATTATTTGCTATTTATATTTTTGAAATTATTTCTGATATAACACTTGTCATTTAATTATACTAAAATTTTCCTAATTATGTTTCTTCTATTTCAACTTCAGCCCTTTCATCTTGTTCATTTAATTCCTATTATCCTAAAAATTTTCCATCATTCACATTTTATTCTGGTTCTAAAAATTAATCATCTTTAAAATTTCTTAATAAATTATCAAGCTATATATTTTTATCATTTTATTCATTAAATTTAATTTCTTGTTCTTATAAAGGTTAATTATTTATTTAATTTTATTCATCAGAATTAATTACTGGTTCATATAAAGGTTTATTATTTATACCATACCAAAACTTTTCTCTTTCTGATATCATTTCTTTTTTTAAAAGGTTTTTCAAATCTTCAGGAGTAGAATTAGATTATTCATAAATAGTCATTTTTGGTGTATTATCAGTGCAATAAGTAAGTATTAAGAAAAATTTATGTTAATTGATAATCTTATTTGGAATTAATTCAAAAAATCGTTATAAACAATAAGATTCATCTTCAGACAATCGATTAATCGATGAAGAATTTACATAAAATATAGCTGCTATAGATGCATTTTTTTAAAGATATTCTAATATTTCTACATATATATTTGAGTTTCCACTTTAATCCAATCCTAAAAAATCTAATTTTAAATCTCCAATTCCTCTAAAATCCACAAAGACATAGTTCTTGTTTTATATTCGAATGTGATATTCATCATAATATCCTCTTATTTAATCTTATTTTTTTTTAACTCTATACATGCTATTATATTACACATTGAAGATCTTATTTATTATATTAAAAATAAAAGTGGTTTTTCCTCTATTTGGTGGACCAAGAATTAATATATAACTATAATTTTACTCTCCTTCAAAAGCAATATCTTAATATTCAAGTTTTAAAATATTTGTTTCCTTATCAAATTCCAACTTTTAAATTTCTTCATCATTTGGTCTTGCTTAATGTCTACCTCTTGTCAATATCAAAGCTTCTTTAATTGAAAATCCTTATTTCTCAACAAAGAACTTTGGTTCAATGGAAGGTAATAATTCTACATAAAATCCTAATTTATTTAGTCTATCTAAATATTAATCTAATTGTTATTATCTATTCTCATCCTTTCGATAATTTAATTATTCTAGTATTCTCTACTTGTGTTCCTGTATTATAAAAGTAAAGCTAAGTTAAAATTTATTTTAAGTACCTCATTATCTATCTGAATTTTGAAATATATAATTAATAATTATATTAATAATAGTAATAAAAATATACCAATATTTCATGTATTATGTAATACATAGTAATACCCTTCACAGACTTTAATTTTTTAGTATACTAATCAATTTTAGTTTATATAAAGAGAGATTGAATAAATGATAGAATAAGAATCATCATTCTATTGATTTAAGAAAATAAAATTCATATAAAATAGCAAAAGAAATTATTTTCAAGATAATTTTATAAATAATAGTAAATTTTTTTATAAATCATTTTTATCTCATATTAACAATTCATAATACATGTCTAATTTTATTATATAAATAATAATATAAATGAAAAAGTTGAATGCTAAATTGATTATTGGTACGAAGACTTATCAATTATTATTTAATAAAGAATAAACTTAGTGTTAAATTAATTTTATGATTAAAGCTTATATTGAATTTTATTTGCCTTTATTTTTAATAAAATTTAACAATATTTGAATTGATATTATATTAATTTAATGATCTCTGTTTGAAAAGATAAAGCATTTAAGTCTAAGTAATACTATTAAAAATCATGTGAAATAATTAAAAATATAAAAAAATATTTATGCAATCACCTTAATTCTAGAAATCAAATGAAGGGTCAACAAAAAGCGAATAATTTACTTAAGGTTGGCTTCCAATTACAAATGATTTTGAGCAATCAATTGTGTCATATTTGGATTAACTAGGGATTAATTAATTGATCTAAGTCGATAAGCATTCTAATTAAAGAAATTCATTGTATTCCTTAGACTCAGCTATAACTCCTCCAAAATCTTAAAGAAGAATTTCTTTAACAATGGATTCAGAGTTATTTACAAGAAGAAGTTGTAGGATGTGCTCTGACTAGATATGAACATAAAAAAAAAAGAAAATACAGAGACTAATTAGATTTATATATTATTTATATAATTTTTCTCTGCATGTTCATATTTTTGCTCTTTTTGCCACATTTCTACATTTTTTTTTATTTTTATGAAGAGACAATTTTATTGCTTCACCAATAAAAATAAAAAAACCATCTATTTTAAATGGAATTATTTGTGATATTTGTACATACTTGTTAAATATATGAGTTTAAAGTTAAATTATTCTTGAATTGAAATAAGTAATTTTGGCAATTTGATAATTTGATGTAAATTTCTAGTATTAATATTTTCTCCTTAATATTCATTGGACAATTCTTATTTTATCATATAATTTAGAATCTATATATTTAAATTAAGGGATTACAATAATAATTATATATATTTATATGATTAGAAAATAATAAGATAAATTTCTTATAAAATGGGCTGTTAAATGAGTTAGATTAATGTCATATAAATGTATTAATTAGATGTAGAATAATAATTATAAGAATATTAAGAGTAAAAAAACAGTGAGATTAAATAAAATAAAATTAATTAGATTTATTTATAAAGTAGTTTAATATAGAAATTAATAAAGAAATATTAATTTATATTAAAATTTGAAAATATTACAAATATTATGTTATTATAATATTTTTTGAAAATTAACAGATCGAATTTGATAACATAATTGAACTAAAAGAATTATATCAATAAATATAAGATTATTTGAATAATTTAATAATTTGAATAAAATAAAAATAGAAGATTTTTCATTTTCATTTACATTGTATTGTTTCTAAATTGTCTAAATTAGTACTTCTATTTTAATCATCAATAAAGAAGGTTATTTTACCTGATTCTTTCTTCCAAAATTATTAATATTTTTATTTCTTACTTTATTTATTTGAATTCTCCTCTTTATCTAATTGATTTAATGTTTTAGTTATTATTTTATCAAGTTTTTCTATTTCATTTTCTAATTATTTTGATGATTGTAAAATCAAGAAAAATCCTTATGTGCAACCAATTGTTTTTTGTTCAAAAATAATATGTGATTCTTGAGCATTACTTTATATCAATTCTAATATCCTATTAAGTATATTTTATTAATTTTAATTTAAATTAGAAAATTAATAATAGTTTATAAGTAGATGCCATTTATCTTTTGCTTTTATTTGATATTAAATTTCTTTATTTTTAATACTATAAATCTATAATTCTAATTGTTTTAATTTTGATTTGAAATTTAGAGTTTTATGGAGCATCTAATTTAACTTAATTGATTAATCCTTATCAATGTTTCCTGTAAGTTTCATTTTATAATTTTATCCTATAGCTCCAAATTATGGTTTTTTATAATTGACTATAAGGTATGATTCAATTTTGAAATTAATTAATTTTAAATGTTCTGGTAACATATCAAATTTATATTATAATTAACTTCTTAATTCTTCATTAGGTTTCTCCTTTATTATTTCCATGATTCCTTTAAATATATTTGTATAATGATCTGACCAACCTTATATTTATATTTAAAAATATTGATTTTAATTGACATCAACTCCATATCCTACATTTATGGCATCTTAATATTCCATAATAATTCTTTCATATAAATATTCTGCATATATATATTATCCATATGTGAATATAGTTATATCAGCATAGATTTTTGGTAACTTTTTAGAGACATCCACAATCACTTCAACTTGATCATCGATTTTAAATGGTTAAATTTATTCAACTAAATCTAAATTTTAAGGAATATAATTATTTACTGAAGGAAAAACAAAAATAATATCATCTTCAGTTTTTTCAATAAATTATTTAGTTTAATCAGTTATTTCTTTTAAAGAATAAGAAATACCATTTTAATTGATATCTAATTCATCTTAAGTTAGAAATAATAAATCCTATATTGCTGAACCCTTTGAAATTTATAAAAAACTAAATTCAGTATGATATTAAGAATCACTTACAACAATGATTAAATTTTTAGTAGATTATAAATTATCTAATGTTTTCTTTAAAGATTCTGGTACTATTTATATCATAAATTTATAATGAAGTACTTCTTCTATTAAATCTTATTTGAGATTTTTAGCAATTTCCATATAATTCAATTCTGTATTATCATAGTCAAATTATAAATTATTAATTTATTATAATTAATCTATCATTTTTATACAATATTCTGATAATTCATTATCATTATTTAATAATTATGATTCCAAAGAGTTAGCAAAATTAATAATGATTTTACTTATTCTATATGCTAATTCTCTTTAATCATAATCCATTTAATCTTAGAAAGGTAATGCTATTTAAATTTGATATAATTATCTATTATTTTAATCTAATATTACACTTGATTAGACATCTAAACCTAATTTATTATTAATGATATAATTTTAAAGAGAAGTCTCTATAAAATAATCAATAAAATTTAATTCTTTACTATTTTCTAATTCATAAATTATTTTAACAGAATTTAAATCTTTTTAATTGTTCCATTTAATAATACTTCCAGGTTTATTAATAATTTCAATATTTTCTATTTCTTATAAATCTTTATCTCTTAAAAGAACAATATCACTTTGTACAATTCCATCCATTAATTCATCTGAATTAAATTTTCCTTTTACAATCAATACTAATTGATTTGGACATAATTCAAATGTAGATGTCTTAGAATATTTAGAGGAAAGTGGATGTTTTTCATTAGATATTTAAGATATTAATTCTTCCCAAGGAGTTTTCTAATGATTAATCTATTTTAATTATGGAGTTTCTGATGCAAAAGCTTTACTTAATTCATTAAATGTAGATAAAATTTAATCAGATTTTGTTTAAATAAAATATTATGTTTGTTATTCTTATACAGTTATGATACATTCATCACATTTAACAAAATAATTAGTTTACCAATATCCTTTAAAATCATTTAAATATATTTATGCATTTTCATCATTATTTTAAATCAATAGAATTTTCATTTTATTAGGTAATTCAACATAATTATATTTTGAATCATCTATTTTAGGTGTTATTATACTTGATCCTGATTATAGTAGAGAATATTATTCAAGTTATTATTCATCATTAAGTATTTAAACTTAATCATCAACTTATGATTAATCACCAATTTCTAAAGTAGCACTCTAAAATGTTTGAATATCAGTATTTTAATTTTCAATAGAGGGTTCTTCTATTTAATTAATTTCATCTTAATTTGAAAAATTCTCATCAATAAATTCTTCATTTAATACTTCTTAATTTTATTTATTATTATTAGCATCATCCCATAATAAATTATCTAATTATGATGTATAATCCATAGTATCAATTTATGATTAGTCTTCATTTTTTTAAATTGGTATTTAATCAGTTATATTTTATTATTTAGTGGTTGATTTAAATGAAAGATGTATGATTTCATAACCAGTTATATCTATTACAATATATGACATAAGTGCAAGTATTATTAATGCTAAAATTGCAATCAAATAATTCATGTAGGTTGACTTAGTGTATCTGACCTTACGAACTTATTTGATAGGTTTGGTAAGTATTGTATTTGGAATAAGACCTTACTATTCTTCAAGATCCATAAAAATAAGGATTAAAACGAATAAAACTTTAATTTATATTCATAATAATTAATTAATGCTATTTTCTGAATTGTCTCCATTTGCTTCATCATTTTCTTCTATTATAGTGTCAGAAATAGGCGATAAGGTATATAAAATAAATAAATTAGACATTCTTCATTACAGCAATTTTGGGAATGACTTATTCAATGAGTTTAGTATTTTTAGGTTCTTATACAGCCATGGTTTTAATGACTTTATTATCATGTTTCTTTGGATTTTTGTTACCTTAAATATTAAATCCTACATACACACATGCTTTAGCTTGTATAATGTTTTTTTACTTTGGATAAAAATTATTGAGAGAATTCTGGAGTACAGAAACTAATGAAAATGATGATGAAGAATAAGAAGCAGTCTTAGAAGTCAATAAGGTTAAGTCTAAACTAAGTAAATAATCAGATTCAAAGAATGTATCAAACTTAGAAGTTTTGAGAGCTGCAATAGCATTAACATTTTTAGCAGAATGGGGAGATAGAAGTTAAATTACAACTATAGCATTGGCTACAGAAGAGACATTTGTTGTTCTAGTTGGAGCACTACTTGGTCATTTTATTTGTACAAGTACAGCAGTACTTGGAGGAAAAATGATCTCATCAAAAATTTCTGAAAAATACGTATTATATTAAAAAAGATTATATTTTTAGATTCATCTCTGTGGAGGTATTCTATTCGTCTTATTCGGACTGCATAACATAAAAATGCTTTTATGATTTATAATGAGTTTTTATTTGAATCTTTTACAATTAATTAAAATATTCCGTTTTTAGCAATTTATATATTATATTGTTTCAATTATATATGAAATTGGAATATTAAATTGATAATAAAGGATGATAAAAATGTATATGAAATTTTTAATATATATGAACTTGATATATGATGTTGAACAAAGAAATTCTAGAATTCATTTTCTTTTTTTTATATATAAAATAATTATTTTAAGTTTATAATTTTTTAGTAATGTAAAATCAATTTTATTAATTCTTATTATGCTATTCAAAGGAATAAGATACGCTAAGAGTTATTTTCATGGTGCTTCTAACATTCCATTAACTTATAAAACTGTAGGGTAGTAGTTGCATGATATTACTGAGAAATACCCTGATAATTTAGCAGTAACTAAGCTTTATATGGATTTCAGGTAGTTTCTTAATTGCAGGATGTTCAAATGACTTACAGTGAATTCTATAAGAGATCAAAAGAATTAGCTGCTGCTTTCATTGCTTTAGGATTAGAGAAAGGTGATCGTATAGGCATTTTCTCACCAAATAATGTAGAGTGGGCGTTAACTTAATTTGCAGCAGCTATGGCTGATTTAATTTTAGTGAATATTAATCCTGCTTATTAAACTAATGAATTAGAATATACACTTAATAAAGTTGGATGTAAAGCCTTAATATTAAGATCTACTTTCAAGCATTCTAATTATGTTTCCATGATCAAAGAACTAGCACCAGAATTAGATTAACCAGGTAATTTAAATTCAAAGAGAATTCCAGCTTTAAAAAGTATTAATATAAATAGATTTAGGTACAATATTAATTGATGATATTCATAAGAAAGGTTTCTTTAATTTTAAAGAACTCTTTTCTATTTATGGATCTTCTCATTTAAATGAAGTTGATTAAAGAATGTCTAAATAAGATCCAGATGATATTACTAATATTTAATTTACATCTGGAACAACAGGTGCACCAAAAGGAGCCTGTTTAAGTCATTTAAATATATTAAATAATGGTAAATATGTTGGAGAAAGAGTTCATTATACATCAAATGATAGAGTAGCTATAGCTGTACCATTATATCATTGTTTTGGAATGGTAATGGGTAATTTAGCATGTATCAATTATGGATCTACTATGGTATATCCAAGTGATGGTTTTAGTGCAGGAGCTACTTTAGAAGCAGTCACTAATTATAAATGTACTTCTATATATGGAGTACCAACAATGGTATTATTATATATTAATAAATTTAGTTTATTGAATATTTGAATGAATATGAGAAACATAAAACAAAATATGATGTATCTACATTGAGAACTGGTTTAATAGCTGGATCTTTAGCATCTGAAGCATTAATGAAATAAATTATTAATGTTTTAGGTGTGAGAGATATTTCAAATTGTTATGGATAAACAGAAACAAGTCCAGTTACATCTTAAACTAAAACTATAGATTCTTTTGAAATAAAAACTAGTAAAGTTGGATAACCTATGAATATGGAAGTTAAAATTGTTGATTCTAATGGAAAGATTGTACCTTATGATACACCAGGAGAATATTGTTCTAGAGGATATGCAGTTATGAAAGGATATTGGGGTGATGAAAAAGCTACTAAAAATACTATAGATGAAAATGGATTTCTTCATAGTGGTGATTTAGCAACAATGGATAAAAATGGTTATGTAGCTATTGTTGGTAGAATCAAAGATATGATTATAAGAGGTGGTGAAAATATATATCCTAAAGAGATTGAAGATTATTTATCTCATTTAAAAGGAGTTGAATAAGTTTAAGTAGTTGGTTGTTTTGATGAAAAATATGGTGAAGAAGTTGTTGCTTTAATTAAAATGAAAAAAGGAGCTGAAGAACTTTCTGGATTAGATGTCTATTAATTTTGTCATAAAAAGATTGCTCATTATAAAATACCAAAATATGTTAAATTTGTTAATGATTTTCCATATACAGTAACAGGTAAACCATAAAAGTTTAAAATGAGAGATGAAATAAATAAAGAACTTGAAGATCCAAAACTTAGAGAATTATATTAAATCAAATGACATTATAAAATATTTTATAAAATTATGGGAAATAATATCCCAAAAGATGCTAGTTTTGAATATCAAATCATAAATAAACTAGGCACCATTTCCATCACCTATGATGATCTCAAAGGTAATTTCACATTTCCTAAAATGCCAAATAAAAAAACTGTTGTTTTAGAAGAATTTCGTAAATTTTTAGATGAAATCATCTTACTTCCATCAGATAAACACATTATTGAATAATTACCATTAAAAATTAAGTGGAGATTAGTTCATAGACATAATATTGAAAAAGAAAAGTTAGGTGATTTAATTCCGCATTTAGAAGATTCTGAGAAATCAGAGATACAACATTTAGTTGATGAATGTGTTGCTAAACCATCTACTATAGCTCTACAAAATTTATAAAGAAGATTAGAAAATCCAGAAGAGGATGAATGGAATTAATTTCTTGTATATCGAGGGTAATTTGATTATAATTATATAGATTATTTAAATTATTAGAAGTCTTGGAACAATGTGAAATTAATGCAAGATCAACTAAAAATTATAAATTATGTGTTGCTTTTCTTAGATTCATTTATTTTATTAATTAATAAGATTAAGCAAGTGATGATTTGGCTTCTATTCCAGGATCTTTTAGAATTATATTTGCTAATTTTCATCCTGTTCATATAGAAATGAGTTGTTTAGTTTTAGAAATCTTTGCTGGAGAAAATGGTTTAATTTATAAGGATAATGTTGAAGATATTTTAGAATCCTTTGCATATTATCGTAAAGATCATTCATTAAAATATCGACTTGAAATCTTTGTTAGAACTGTATTTTAATCAGATAATATTATGATGGTTGTTAATATTTTAGGATTCTTAAGAAATATCTAACCTCATATTAGAAATGAATTAGAATCCTCTATCATTTCTCCTTATAATTTTTCTGCTATCCTTAAACTTATTGAATAAAGAATTAATGAATATAATATTGATGCTTGTACATATGAATCTATCTAAAATAAATTGATTAAATATCAAAATATTGATCATTTCTTTAAACAAAAGTCACCCTTCCTTAAAAATCCTATTTTATTAAATGAATCTCGTGAAGATCAATCAAAAACTGAAAACATTTAAATTACTCAATTACCTCAAGAAGGAGAAGCACAATTTTACTTAGAAAAACATGATGAAGCATCATTTCAATTATAATAATAAAGTAAATATTTAATTTTATTAAAGATCTTTTGTAAATCATAAAAGAAATTCGTAACTTTGAATTTGATTCGGAAAGAAAACCTTCCAAAATCATTGAATTTTCAGATCAAAAACTATTTGACATAGTTAAATAATAATCACTTTAACTTGATTCTTATGGTAAATTCTTATCTATCTTAAATTTCATGTCTAATCTTAAGGTAAGAGATATGTGGGAGCTAAGTGAATAAGCTCTCTAAAGATTACTTATTGATGAAGAAGATGATGAAATTATTGAAATGCCTAAACATGATCAAATATATGAAGATTATGAAAAAGCATAATAATCAATAAGAGACTTAGAAAAATAAATTAAATCAATTATTTAAGGATAAAAATAAGCTTAAATGTAACTCACTTAAAGAGAGTAAGAAATTATTAAATTAAATGAAAAAATTACTTAAACTAACTCACTATAATAAGAATATCTAAATTAGATTGATAAATTAACTAAAGAATTAGAAAATATTAAAGCTTAAACAGTCTTAAAAGAAGCTCAAAATATAGAATAATCAAAAGAAATGGAAAATCTTAAAAATTAAATTAAGAACCTTGAAAAACTAAATAAAACTATTTAAGCAGCTGTGCCATCTAATAATACTTAATAAATACCTATACAACCTTCAAATACTCCTTCACTTCCTCCACCTCCTCCTCCTCCCCCTCCACCTCCAGTTAAATCTGCTCCTTTACCTCCACCACCTCCACCTCCAAAAATTGCAGCACCTCCTCCCCCTCCACCTCCTCCTATGAAAGCAGGGCCTCCACCTCCACCACCTCCTCCAGGTGCTCCTCGTCCTCCAGGAGGTCCACCTCCACCACCACCTCCTCCTCCTGGTAATAAAGCAGGTGGTCCTCCTCCACCTCCTCCTCCAGGAGCACCATAACCACCTGGAGGACCAGCACCACCTCCTCCTTTTGGAGCTCCTCCATAACCACAAAATTAAGGTTTAAAATAAAAATAAAATCCCAATGTTCCTATGAAACCTGTTCAATGGGCAATAATAAGTCAAAAAGCATAAATAAAGGACACTATATTTGAAAATATCAAAGATTTAGATGTTAAATTAGATATTGAATTTTTAGAAAAAGAATTTTCTAAAAAATAATAAACACAACAAGCTGATACAAATTCTAAAACTTAAGCAGCTTAACCTTAAAAAATCTCGCTTTTACAACCAGAGAGATAAAAGAATATGGAATTAGTCTTAATGAAATTAAAAATAGCTCCAAATTTAATATATGAAGCTTTGATTAAATGTGATGAGAAAATCCTTACATTACCAACATTAGAAAGTTTAGATGTGATCACACCAACTGAAGATGAAATAGGAACTGTTCAGAGCTTCGATGGAGATAAAGAATTGCTTGGAAATCCTGAAAAATACATACTAAAGATATCCTAATTAAAGGGATTTTCTATTAGAATTAAGGCACTTAAATTCTCCTGCCAATATGTTGAATATGTTACAGATTTAGATGCTCAAATTACTTCACTTGATGTATTTAATGATTTGCTAAGTATGGGATGGGTTACTTAATTAATTGAGTACTCATTAGCTGTGGGTAATTATCTCAATGGTTAATCTGCCAAAGGTGGAGCTTGGGGGTTCAAATTAGAATAAATAGAAAAATTAACAGATGTTAAAGGATAAGATAATAAATCTAATGTTTTATAATATGTAATTAAGTAGATTAAGTTCAATGAAGAGATAGATTTAGAGAGATTTGATATTATTACAAAATTACCAATATCTCAACTTAATACAAATTTAAATGAAATTAAGAAAGGTCTAAATATGATATCTAAAGCTATTGAATGTAAATCAAATGATGAAAATGATAAGATAGTTGATACATTAAAGGATGTTCAATCAAAATTATAAGAAATGACAAAGGATTTGGAATTAAAAATTCAAAAATTAGACACAGATTATAAAAAGACAGCTAAATATTTATGTGAGAATCCTGCTGATGCAAGTGATAAATTTGGAGAAAAGTTAATGAAATTTTTAAGATGCATAAAATAGTAAAGAGATAAGATAAGAGAAGAGGAAATTAAACTATAGAAATAGTAATAATAAAATACAAAAAAATAATAAGAATAATAATAATAATAATAATAATAATAATAATAATAATAATAATAATCATAATAATAATAAAAGAATGATATTATGCCTTCTTCTATGAAAAGTTCATAAACTAAGACTTAAACCAATAAAATGGTTATTCGATCCAGTATTTTGTAAGCATAAAGACCAAGTATGATGGTAAATAATTTAAGAAAAAAAAGTTAATTTTAAAAACTAATTGGTTGAATGCTATTTTTATTAAAAATATATAAATAAATATTGATCATTTTTTCCTTTTAATCTACTATTATTTCTTTTCTTTTTACAATTATAGTAATTAATCTACTTTCTATGAATATGATTTAATAAATTTAGATTCTTTTAAAAAAATTAAAATGTCTTCCAATTTCAATAATCCTGGATAATCTATTGCTCGATAATCATTTGAATCACAAGTTAAACTTTTTTCTATATTTTCAAGCATATCATTAATATAATTATTAATAGAAGTCTATTTCATACCTTATCTTAATTAATAATAAGGTGATCCTATTTCAGATTCTTGAATATTCTTTTCTAAGAATTCTAAAAGAGCAATAAATATTTCAAGATTTTCTAAATCTACATATTCACTTTTAAGTGCTATTAAATCATCTGATAAACTATTTAAACTTTCCTCCCAATTTTTCTTCTTTAAATCAAGTCTTGAAAATTATTCAAAACAAAAAAATCCTTCTGTTTCTATATATGAATCAACATTGTGATAAGTCAAACCAGAATTTTAATACATAATGAATAATAATATTTATTATAAATATGAAAAGGATTGCTATTTGTTATAAATTGAAATTTATAATCTAAAAGGATTATTTTAGAAAAGAAAATTCTATACTAAGAATTAAAACAATTAAAAATAATTAACTATTAAATTTACATAATAATATCCTAATTAAAATGAATATATATGATGATGGATTACTCTTGATATATTTTAACACTTTGATATAAATTTTCAACTTATTTTATAATTAGCGTTTATATATTATCTACAATCTTTAACATTTTATTTTCTCATAAGAGTTATGCCTTATCAAATACTTTTATTTATCAAGATATTCTGAAAAAGCTTATATTTTATAAGTATTTAGTTTTGAAACTAAGTTTCAAAATAATTTAATTTTTTTTTAAAAACATTATTACTATTATTCTAAAGAGAGAATATCTAATTTATATTTTTACTAATATTCAAAAGAGATATTTTACAACATCTACTTTTATTTAAATTTAAATTATTGATAAAAATAATCTCAATAGTAGTTTGATTGGATTAAATTTATTCATATATAGTATTAATAAATATATATATATATAAAGCAAACTAAATGGAAAATAAAACAAAATAGAAAATGAAAGTTGAAGAATTATGGAGAATAGGTCAATCTGAAATAATAGTAAACTCTTTTGTTTGGATCAATAAAAACCTATTTAAAAAATATTGCCAATCTTAAAATTATTATTATACAAGAGATATCAATGAAATCCTCAGAGATGCTTCATCAAAGGCAGTTGTACAATATAAAGATTGGATTGGATACGATGATGATGTAAGAATGTAGTTTCATATAAGGATGAATATTTGAAGAGGTACTACTATTATGAAGATGAATATCCATAGAAAATCCAGCTATTGTCTGAATACTATAAAGTAAAATCAACCATTTAACAGAGTTTCATACTGATATACCACGAATCTTTATGGAACCTATAATATTATTGTTGAATAAATATTATGATAAGAAGCGCAGATATGAATATTATAGAATAGCTCGTTTGATTGAAGAAGAGAACAAGAAAAATCCTAATGGACCACCAAAATGTATAATAGGAGAAGGACCATCACCTGCAAATTCTTAAGAGAGTTATAAAAATTAAGAATCTCAGACTTAAGTCAAAAGAATTCGGAATACTTAGATTTTAAAAGATTTAAGTTGGCTAAATAAATCATTATCTTAAATCCAAAAAAAGGGAATAGAAAAATCTTGTACCTTATAGGAAATTTGTAAATAATTGGGAAAGGTTACTTTGGAATAATCCTCTCTTTAAATTTCTTCTGTAAAAGGAGATGAGATGTAATTGGATAAATTTTTGTCATACCTTAATGTATAAACTTAAAAAACCTAAAGAGATAAGGTGTAATTAATATAAAAATATTCCAAAAAATTAAGTTAACCTCATGAATAATTAGTTTAGACATTTACTCAAAAGTAACATCATGATGTTAGTAAATAAAGGTTGGGTTCATAGCATTTTATATAAAAAACAGAACTCATATAATAAAAGAATAAAATATCAAGTGATATCAATATAAATTGTATAAATAATTAAGATAATACACTATAAAAATAGAGTAATCATACAAGATTGGATTAAAATGATTAAATAATTAGATGTAAATCAAAAACAATTGTGTAACCTAAAATATCAAATTAATAATTTTTAAAAGAGATCAGATAAAATGTTTTATCAATTCCTCAACTACTCAATTATCAAAATTAGAATTCTATTTTATCTCCAATATAAAGTAATGCTTATTTATAAACATATAAAATCAATCAAATATCTATAGGTATTTCTTATTATAAATTCTTATATTTAGGTAAGTTGAATCTCAAACAGATTTCTAAAATATATATTGAAGATGATCCAAATTAATAAGAATTAAAATGGAAAAATGGAGCATAAACACATAGACCTAATTCTGGCACTAAAAACTTCTTCTCTAATAGGAATAGTCCAACTGTATAAAGAGGAACTTAAAATGAATAAAAAAAAAATGTGTTAAAGTAGACTTCAAGTTAAATTACAGCAACATATTCATAATTATAATAAAAATAAAGTTAAAAAAATATCAAGGCAATTGATTCTTCAACTAATAGAAAATCAATATAACCCAATATTCACTTTCGATATAGATCAAATTAAGATAATAATAATATTCACTAAAATTTATAATGTAATATACTTTACACATTATTAAAGTAAAATAAGCATAACACCAAAAGAATCGATCTGATGGAAAACTATTAAATTCACCTTTATTGGATACTCAACATTAATTTTTGTGTTTAACAGATAGGGCAGGTGACTATATATTTAAAAATAGTTTAGTGGCATCATATTAAAATTCACCAAAAACAAATATATAAAAAAGAGTTGGAAATGGGATAGGAACTTTTAAAAATTCAGGAAACCCTAAAAATTCTTAGATTAAATAAATGCTTCTTACTTAAGTTTAAAAATAATAATAAAGATAAGAATGCTTTTCTTTGTAATTAAGAAAACCTAATTGAAAATTAACATTTTATAATAAAATTAATATGTAAAATAATGCAATCTCGAATTCCCTTTACTTTACTAAGCACACTCATTTTAAATAAAACATTTATCGTGGATATTTTGTGTTTAAAAATGCTAATTTTAGCATATTAGAAACTAGAAACAAATTGAGATATGATAGCAAGCATTCTGAACCTGAAGAGTAAGTCTTTGTTTCAAGTTCTGTCTAATAAATACCAAGTTAGAGAAGAATTACATGTGATAACTCTAATATTGAAGATTCATAAATATAACATATTGATAAAAAAGGAATTAATAAGAGATAAATGACTAATCTAAAACTTATGCAAAAAGAATAACAAATTTTACCTTAATTATCATCAACATAATAAGTAGTTAGAATGAAATTGTAAAGTCGATAATTAAAAGCTAAACCAATTATCAAGAAACAAAAGAGTTTAGATCATGCAATCTAATTACGTTATTTAAATAAATAATATGAAGAATTACAAAAAGGTATTATGATTAAATGTCTCTTTATAAATATCAATAATAGAGAGGAATACTTAGATAAAGTTATTATTTTGAATTTTGAAAGTATAGTACAATTTTGATTGATTAGATTTATTATTATAATCAAAAAGGAACTTTTGGGATCATAAAACTGATCTGAAAATTTGCCATTCATTTTTAATAGGTAGCGTAATTGAACAATGCGATAGTCCTTATTGTCCATGTACATTAAGAAATGATCTCAAAAATACTCTAAGAATGTATAATATCTTTTTATTTTTATATATCTTTCTTAGACTTTCCAAAGCTTATCTAATAGTTTTCCTATTTACAAGTTAGACATTTGCTTAAGTATGGTAAAAATATTTATAAGATAATGGATACATATTTGATGCAATCTATATATCTAAATAATAATCTCAATAAATAGAATGTGGAGGTATTAAATTAAATAGATTACTAAGAGATTTTAATAAATTTAAAATAACCAAAATACTTATATTTGATTCTATTGATATTAATAATACTTATCCTAAAATACCTGCTGATCAATTTTAGTATAAATTACCTATATATGGAACAGATATAGAAACATTATTATTCATATTTTAATAAATTTAGAATCCTAAATAATTTGATTCTAAAGTTATTTTTGATATTTGCACTTCTCTTTATAATGATTAAAATGTAATCATTAGTAGAAAACCTATTACTATTTTATCTATAGACCTTACTTATGCATATACTTATTTCAATTAGAAAGAGGAATTATATTAAGATAAATTATAAATTTTATCTAAATTATCTACAATATAAGAAGAATTCAATAAAAACATCATTTAATTTGATTCCAGTTTATTATAAGAACAAGAGGATTAAGTATATAAATGGGTTGATACTACTCGTAATAGAGTTTTAGATTAAATTAAATCAAAATTTTAAGAAAAGATACCATTATTACATTTTACAGTAGGAGATTTAATTGTTAGAAATCATAAATTCAAAAAATTATACTTTAATTATCCTTAATCATAATTAATTTAAAAAGAATATTAATTAAATAAAAAAATTGTTAAAATAGACACAGAAACTGCAGGAAATCAAAATAAATAAAAAAATTAATTATTAATTAACTGCTTTCTATGTATAGAATGATATTTATAATGCTTCTTTTCGAATACTTTTATCATATATACTGACATATATAATTATCTCTATATGAATCTTATGTATAATTCCTATCATTTAAAATAATAATAAGTTTATATAAATAATTAATTTAATTATTGATGTATTTGCCTACATTTTATAAACTTGGATATGAGGCTTGGACTGCAAAAAGCAAAAGATTCTTAGGAATATTACCTGCAGTAGGATGTTGGGGTAAACTAAATAAATGATCTTTTTTAGCTGTTTGGGCTCTCTATCCTAATTTGTATAATACACTCTACACTGATTTTATCCCTCCTCCTAAAGGTTTTAATATTTATTATCTTAGGTGTCTAAAGAAGAGTATAAGAATGAATATTATAAGAAAGAATATTAAATTAATTATATTTAATTCTTCTTCTTAAATTAATATCATTTCTAATATCGTTAATAATTTAACTTTTATTTAAATGCACTTCAATATACATATTTATCAATTATAATCTATTATAAAAATAATATTCAATTAATCTTGATTGAATCTTCATTTATGATTAATAATAAACATACTTCTAAAAGTTTTTATTTGAATTAACAAAATCCTAAATGAATTATATTTACTATTACTAATTGCTTTATCTAAATAAAAATTTGGAGGAGCAATTTTTTTTGCCTATTTTAATAATTCAGATGCAGTTTCAAAATCATTTTGAGCCATTAGACAAATAGCTAAATTTACTATTGTTTTATACCTTTTCCATATAGTAGACTTGGTTAACTATTTTATATGAATAGTGCTTAATTATAAACTTCTAAAGCATATTAATATAGATAAAGCATCCTTAGGCAATCACCTAAATTTTAAACTTCTTCTTACCTTTTCCACTTAATGATACATAATGATTGGGATAAAGCATTAAAACTTTTTCATAATAAATTAAAGCATTATTAAAATCCATCAACATTCTTAAACATTCCCCTATGATAATTTTTAAAAGGTGAACCTTTCCCCCATAATGCATCTGTTGAGTATTAATTAATATTTAAAGCCTTATCATATTATTCCATAGCCTATTCAAATTTATTTTAGAGTCCTAAACAAAATCCTAAAATATATATAATTTTTACCATATCCTATCAATGAATTAATATGATTTGGATCAATTTTTAAAACATCTACATAAATTAACATTGCTCCATCATAATCATTTAACATTCTTAGACATTCAGCTAAATAATTAATAAGAATAGAAACCTTTTCCAAAAATAGAATTTACACTTTTAGGATTAATAGCAAGTTCTTTTTCATGTTATTTTAAAGTTGATATTATTTATTCAAGTTAAGCTATTAAGATAACCTATAATTTTAATAATACTTTTAAAAAATAATGCCCTATGTTATCCAGGGTTAAAATATAAAACCATTTTATAATATTTTAATGCCTCTTCCCATTTCCCCTACAATCTTAAGCATTCAGCTATTAATATAGAAATGTATGACCTTTCCCCTTCAAAGAAAATTCATTATTTGGTTTAATTTCAAGTGCTTTTTCAAAAAATACAATTGATTCATCACATTTAAATAAATAACGTAAGCTTAAACCTATAAAATTAATTAATATAATTAACCCATTCCTTTTAAGGCTTCATATGAAGTAGGGTCGTATTTTAAAGCTCTTTCATAACAATCAACTGCTTATTCATTATCATTTAATTATCTTAAACAAGTAGCTAAATTTTAATGATTTATTATTATTAACCTTTTCCTTCCCATAATTCAGGAAGATGAGGTTTAATTTGCAAAGCTTAATCAAAATATGTAATAGCTTCCTAATATTAATGATTTATTTTTAAGGAATCCGCTTATATAATAAAATTATTGTTACCTAAACGGAATAATGATTCAAAATGACTTTAATTTAACATTAAAGCTTTCTTAAACATTTTCTAGGAATTCTCAAAATCATTCAAACTCCTTAAACATTCCCCTATTTAAATATAATATTATACCATTTCCATAAAACGCCTAAAAATTCTAAGGATTAACATTTATCGCTTTTTCATAATTATAATTGGCTAATATAAATTAATTCTGTATTCTTAAAGTATCAGCTTTAAAATATAGATCAACATTACCAAAACCTAATAGAGCCTCATAATTATTTTAGTTTATACATAGACATTTTGCAAAATACTCTTTTGCCTCATCATATTTAGTGCAATTAAGTAGGTAATTACCTTAAATATCAAATACTATTTACCTATTCTGCATAAAGCTTATTCATGTTTTGGATCTAAGAATATGATTTCTTTAAATTTAAGATATGCTTCATATTCTTAATTCTATTTCATTAAACACTCCCCTATTTTATTTATATATATATATTATATATTACCTTTTTCAAACATTATCTTTATATTATATGGACTTATTTCAAGAATTCTATCAAATTAGGTAATAGCCTCATTATAAAGACCTTATTCTTTTAAATGCAAACCTAATAATATATTATTATTTTAACCAAAATTTTAGTATTTTTATTATTATAATGCTAATTATTAAGGCATCCTATAAGCTATATCTTATAATGGTAACTTTTAAAATATTTAATTCAATATATCTAAGACTTTAAGTAATTTGTTCTCAACTTAATTTCTATATAATTAATTTATCTCATCAAAAGTGATTAATTAATCAAGAAACTAAATAATTTGATTTTAATCTAAATCTAATAAATCATTTGAGAATCCACCAAATATATATCGTAATCCTTTTATTGTGACATTAAAATGTTCTTAAAGACTTTTAAATTAATTGAAATATTATTATAAGAATTTTTCTGCTTGTTAAGACTTTTCATCAAGTAATAGGAATAATTATGATATTTGATTTATTTAATCAGGATGTTGTTAATGAAAATCATTTATACATTGCTAACAAAATATTCTATGTTATTGACATTAAGGTAATTTACAAAAATATTTGGCTTAGATATTCTAGTGATTTAAGCATTTTAAAGTGAAATTATTTTAGAGTAAACTATTTTAATTCATATTAATATTATAATTAAATTTCAAATAATAATTTAAAGAATTATTTGATAATAATTAGAATTATTAAGTTATTTCTTTATTTTATAAAAATAATACTATATTAAAAATAATAAAATATTTTATTCTATTTCAAATAATTTGTTATGATGAACGAGGTGTTAATATTTTTAGATTAAATTATTTTTATAATCTAATTGATTTTAATTTTTCATGAAATTATCTTTTTTTTCTAAAACTTAAATTTCTTATTCTACATTTATTATAAGTTTCTATAACTTTGAATATATTAAATTCTGGATAAAAATTATTATTTTCTTGCATCATTAAATCCATATCATCAAAATTTTCAGGTATTTTTTAATTTGAATATAATTTTAATGTGTCTTTATTGGTATCAATTTCATTTACTTATGTTTCTATTTTTAAAATAGGTTTAATATTTGAAATAGATGATTTTTTTTTATAAAATTATGGAAATAATTTAATATTAGGAATAGAATTTTAATTATTTGTATCTTCAAGTGATTATTAACCAAAAGAATTCATTTTCTATAAAATAGGTTTTATTAAATTATTTTTATTACTATCTTTCATATTTAGAGTTGTTCTAAGTCTATCAAATTTATTATCATTTTTATCATTTTAAGATTATAAAGATGTTCTTTTATTTTTCATTTATACATTTTTATGATTATCAATAACCAAAGATTATGATTCATTACTACTTGATGTTTTAGAGGATTCTGAACTAATTTCATGTATCTCTCTTTAACTAATTCTATGGTTATTATTGAATCCTAATCTTTTTAATGTTTTATTACACAATAAACTTATAATTATAATAATAAGTTTACTCTTCTTAAATAAAATTATGAACAATCATAAAATCGAGAATTGTAGCTATTGTCATTTAAGAATTTGAAATTGCTTTGTATCTTTGACGAGATTTACGTTCAAATGAGAATCGTTTTATATTAACAGATGCAGATGCTTATCTAACTATTTTCCAAATATTTGGCTAATAGAATGTAAATGGACAACTAAAATTTAAATAAAATAAAACATTTTATAATTACTTCTAATATAAGTGAGTCCATTTACAAATTTCACAAGTTCTTCCTAATTTCTAAGAATAAGTTAAAGAATCAATTAATGTTTAAAATTTATATAAATGTTCTTTATCTTTAGTTATAATCTCTAATAAATCTTATCTATTAATGAAAGCAACTTAAGTAAACTTAAAAGCCCTATATTAAACAGAATAATCATTATTAGTAATAAATTCAAATTCACCTATAATATCACCTTTTTTATAAGTGCGAGAGAATTTACCTTGAGTAATAGAATGTAATGTTTCTTTTTGTGTTCTTTATATATGAAAATAACTATCAACTTATCCATTTAATACAAAAATCAATTTTTTTTCACTTTTATTTTTAATATCAATAATTTCATCTCCAGGTCCAAAATTTTCTTATTAAACCTTTTAACATAGTTGATTAATCAAAATTTCATTAAATGTATCATTTATAAATTTAGATTAAATAAGAATCTTTTTATATAGATCTATCATAATTTCTTATTTTAATTATTCATTTAAATTATTAATTAAAGTTTAATAAGATCTTTTTTGTGATTGTTATGTTTGATAATAAAATTCAAAATATTTTCTAACTTTTAAAGATAATTATAAATTTAATTCTTTTTCTTTAATATAAGAATTAACCTCTTTCATTAATTATTTAAATTAACCCTTTTTCTCTTCTAAATTCTTAAGAATCTCTCCAATAGTTGATATAGAATAACCAAATACACCACAAATAATCATAGCAATAATAACTACAAATAATTATTCAATAGAAGTCTAAGGAACTATATCACCATAACCAACTGTTAATGTTGTTATTACACTCCAATAGATACTTACTATATATCTAGTTTACCATGGTTTATCATAATAACCATAATGAATCAACCATGAATTAGTATCTCCATAAACATCAACTTCTATTTTACCCAATAAATGCCAAGCACAACTACACATATGTGCAACAAATATAATAAAATATATTAATTTAGATAATTCTACTACTGCCTAAACAGATTCCTTAGCATTTAATAAATCTTCCACATTTTATACCATAGATTTTACTCTTGTAATTCTTAATAATAATACAAATTGTATATAAGGTATGTCCAATTAAGATAATATATAAGGTATAGATATCATTAAATCCCACCAAAAATTTTCAGAAACATAATGATGAAATATTTCTTTTCTAGTTGAATGAATTACACCATGACCATAATATGCAGTATTAAAATTAAGTAATATTTCAGCTATGAATATGTAACTAGGTATTGTTTCAAAGAATAACCAAACTAAAGTACTTGATTTATCCAATTCAAAACTCAATGACATTGGTATAAAGAATATATTGATCACTATAAAACATACTACTATAGAATCCCATATAATTTTAAATGTACTTTCTGGATATATAACTCCTATTCTATTAAATAAGTATTCTAAAATAGCTTTAATGACTGAAAATGCTTCTTCCATCTTCTTTAAATTTCTACACATTATATTTTTAAAAGAATGATCATCTATTGTCTTTCCAGATTTGAATTCATTAAAATCACTTGCTTTATCATCAATGTATTTAAATATATGATGATTCATCAATTTTAATTTCAAAGTTTCTGCTTTTGTTTTCAGTTAATATAAAAATCTAGCAACTAATCTGATGATCTTCAAACTTCCATGTTTCCAAACTGGACTAAATCTATTCAATTTTTATCAACTCATACCCTGGCTCTTTCTAATCTTAATTCAGATTCTCAAAAATATAAGTTTCTCTTTAATCTGTTATGATATTTTGAATATTTATAGTTGGAGGCTTATAGTTGCTGTTTGCCTTACTCAAACTAAACAATGAAGGTCTATTATTATTATGTGAACAGTACTTAGCACTTTTGTCTTAATCATCTATCATTTCATCCATCCCTTCTATTGAAGGACTTCTTTCAAAATATTGTCTCATCTTAATATCTGAATCTCTACCGAAAATTTGTCTCTTGGTATTTATCAATTAAAAGGGTTCACTATCGTAATTTGTAATTATTTACATATTAGTTATTAATAATTTAGACCAAATTAATTTATTACACAATTTATAACGATATTAAAGACAAATTATTATCAAGAACTTCTTATAAATATTATATATCAATAGATTCAATCATCAAATTATACATTAAATATAATATTTTAATCAAAATATTAAATAAAAATAGAAGAAAGTTCTAAGTTTATTATTTTATCTATTTATCTATTTAATTTAAATTTAAACATTCATATTCAAAAATAATATATTTTAGAGTATTTATTAAAAATGAAAATAACATAGAGAATTTAGAATATGTTAAATTTATTAATATATATTTATTAGAATCTATAAGAAATTAATATAAATTAATTAATATAATATAAATTTTTCATCTAGAATAACTAATATTTTAGTATCTATATGTGTAATTTATATTATACTTACTTATTTATATCATAAATAACTAATAATAAATTTAATTAAATATATTATTACTTAATCAACAATGTAATATTAAATTACTACAGGATAATCACTAATTTAATTCTTTTATTGATTTATAAATATATTTAAATGAGTAATCAAATACCATATTTTGATAAATGATATGTTGTTTTCGAGATGAGATCAGAAGTATCAATTTTCTTTTTTTTCACTTTTTTAGTCATCTATTGATGAATATCATAAGGATAATGATTAATATCATAAGGATCAGGTGATTTATTGTTTTTTACATAACCATTAAATTGTCTGCGAGCTACTAAACTAGAACTTAAATAAACTCTTTTTAGAGGACTATTTGATCTTGATGATTTAGGAGTAGCGTGTTATGTTATGATTTGAGAATGAATAGTTAATTTGTTATGATTGTAATCAAACTTTTATTGGACCTTAAAATTAGGACTTTAAATATTGAAGTTAATCATTAGGCTGTCAGATATTATATTTTATTCTGTAGAAATTCTTAGTTGATTAAATTTATTTGATTGATGAGCATATTTCATTTTAAAGTAATTCAATTTAGACTAGCTATCTAATAGAGGTTAGTTTAAGATTTCAAGAAATGAAATAGGTTGTTCCATAAAATAATAAAATTAAATGGCCTAATCAATCATAATTATATTATTATAAATTCAATTTTATATTAATGATAATCTATCATTTAATGTGTATCAATATATTAATATACAATTTTGAATATAGAGAGTATATTAAATTATAAATCAACAAATTGTTATAGTAAATTATGAATATATTTGTAAATGAATGTATTACATAATTCAAATAATATATTTAAACATAATTTCTATTCAATAATTTATAAATAATTTAGATTAATTGTTTGTATTATTAAATTTAGAAAATTGAATTTGAAATTCTGTCAAAGAAAATGTCAATCTAGATGTAATAATTATTCAAATAACATTAAACACAATAGTTTTTGACTCAATAATTTTCTATCAAATAAGAAAAGATTAAACCTTCAAACCTAATAGCTGAATAATAAAATGAAAAATTCAATAATAAATTAAACAATGAAAAAAATAAAGAAGAATCACCATCATAAAGATTTAATAATTATATATTAAAACCATCCTAAAAACCTTAATAGCAAAATAATACTTAAAAATGTAATATTAAGTAATTGTAAAATAAGAGTAATAACATTACAGAATAAATTCAAGAAAAATATAATAATTTTAATAAAAAAAGAAGTTAATCTCCTAATTAATTCATTAATCAATCATAAATTAATGATGAATAACCTTAAAGAAGACCTGCTTCTTTTGCAAATGATTAATCTCATAAATAAAAAGTTATACCTAAATCTCCTAATCCACATGAATTATAAGAGAGTATTGTAACAATTGCATTAGATAAATAAGG